CAAATCACTTAGATCATCTTCAGTATGTCCTCACTTTCTCTTCTTTTCACACAGGAGCAGAAGCGGTGTGTTGATGGTACATTGCCCCGTGAGGTGAAAAAGGTTCGTAAGGCTCATAACCGCAGACAAGAATGGAACATGATGGCTCTTGATAAGGAGCTGCGGCCGGACCATCGTCATTATCATTCACTTCACAGGGGTGTATCGTCTGAGGGCTCGCTGTCTCCAGACGGCAGGTTTGTCAGCTCTCAATGCACAAAATTATCCCTTATGGTATAAAATACTAGTTAAAGAAAATGTCTGCGGTTTTAAATAGCATTTGTGCAATAATAATCATATTGCCATAAAAAAAATCAACTCATCAGTCAGGGTTTATAAAAATAATAATGGCTACAGTAATGCACTAAAAGAAAGTGAAAGGGACAATGCAATGCAAACATAACATGCACTGGCACACAATGCAAAATACACACTGGCATGATATGCACAAGGACACAAGGCAAGTTGTTGGTAACACTTTCTATGAAGCCCATATTTATAATACATTATAAGGGTATTCTTAAGGCATTATAATGAATGCATAATGCATTATAAAAAATGCATATCATCTTATGAATATTCAAAAGAACAGTTTTCATGTATTATAATATTTACTTATTTGTGGTTATAGCTTTTAAGAGAATGATGATTTATAACACACAGTGACCACTTAAGTTACAATGGATTTTATTTCTCATACTGTAGTTATAATGTATTATAAGTCTGATATCTTGCCATCTTTCTTATGCTACTTTACTTAAAGCAATCAAAGACCACTTATAAGTATAGTAGTAGTAATAATAATAATAATAATTTTTTCTCAAACAGCCATAAGATCAGATATCAAATCAGATGAACGTGTTCACATTTGCTTTGAACTATTTTTATTGTAATATCAGTATGTTTATTTTGATGGTACCCTTTAGACAGCTGTTGATAAGTAACTCTGCAACTACATGTCAACTAGCAGTCATTGGAGTATTAGTAGTATGTCTGCTAAATATATGCTAACACTTTATTTTAATGGTTCCCCAACAGACAAACTGACTATAAGCAACTTTGCAAGTACGTCAACATTCTACCAACCCTAACCTTAACCTAAGTCTACTAATACTCCAATAAGAGTTAGTTGACGTGTAGTTGCAAAGTTGCTTATAGTCAATAGACTAAGGGGACCATCAAAATAAAATGTAACCTAACATATAAACATTACATTTTTATTATTTGAAAGTATAACTAGCTGACATTAAAATTAATATTAGCCTCACAGGGAACACTAAAAAAATAACACTCTGCACCTAACCACTTAAAAGATGTAGTAAGATACTGTGCAGATCTTAAATAAACAATGTCATTATAAATGTAAAAGTAGATTTAATATGGTGTTCATTGTGTGTTATAAATAATCATAATCTTAAAACGTATAACCACAAATGCGTAAGTATCATAATGTATTATAATTGTTGTTATGATTATTTATAAGATGATATAACATATTATACGTTTTTTTTATAATGCATTATGCATTCATTATAATGCCTTAAGAATACCCTTATAATGCATTATAAATATGGGCTTCATAGAAAGTATTACCAAGTTGTTTAAAGTTACAATTAAATAAAAATGGACAATTCTTATTTTTATGGAATATTGCAGTGTGTATTAAAATGATTTATTAACCTCCATTAACCCATCACTCACATACAACAATCCAGTCAATTTCTGATAAACAAAATCACTTCCTGCCCTAAAGTTTTCCTCATTCCAAAAGCTGTTTGGCTTCGAAAAGATGATCGCAGTTTCCGATTTATGCCAACTTTAAGTGCTGAAATAAAATAAAACAAAGAGCACAAGTGCATGATTGATTGATTGATTAACCTCATCAAGCAGAACAAGTAGAAATTTTCTACAAGAGTCACAAATTCTGTTTGAGTCTACCTGTTATTCATTTAAAGGGGTCATATGATGCGATTTCAAGTTTTCCTTTCTCTTTGGAGTGTTACAAGCTGATTGTGCATAGATAAGATCGCTGAAGTTGCAAAGACTAAAGTCTCAAAACCAAAGAGTTATTCTTTATCAAAGTTAAGACTCTGCCACGCCCCCCTAAAACGGCTCGTTCTAACACGCCCCCACATATCTACATCACTATGTGGAAATATTTGCGTAATGCGGCCCAAATGTGCACGCAAAGAAAGAAGGCGTGGTTTCAGTAACCGGCAGTTAGTGTTGAAGCAGCCATGTCAGGGCAACGCTGTGTGTTTCTAAGCGAAAGCAAAAGCACTTTATTTGGCCTTCCGAAAGTAGATGCATTTAGGAATCTTTAAGATTACTTACAACAGAACAGCAATGCATTTTATGGACGACCGTTTCTAAGCGTATCATCTTTTCAACAGATCACATCCAAACAGCTACCCAGTCCAAGCATGTCACGCTCAGGCACGTGCCAGCCATGCTCGTGCGCAGCCGCATCCCTTCATGCCAGTGGAGACAGCATCATCTAGTGCAAATGGAGGGGTAGAGCACGAGTACCACAGCATTGAAGGGCCTGTGGGAGTGGGTGTGGGTGCTGCTGTAGGTTACAGAGTGGGTGTACTCACCATGCTCGTGCGCAGCCGCATCCCTTCATGCCAGTGGAGACAGCATCATCTAGTGCAAATGGAGGGGTAGAGCACGAGTACCACAGCATTGAAGGGCCTGTGGGAGTGGGTGTGGGTGTGGGTGCTGCTGTAGGTTACAGAGTGGGTGTACTCGCTCGAACACATCCAACTCCTCCACAGTACCCACCCCCTGAAAATGGAGTCAATGGAACCATCATGCTTCCTCCAACAGACTATAGGTAACAGCAAACATGTGGGACTCTTTAAAAAATGAGATGTTGTAGTTTTGTGTTGAAAAATGTATCAGAATGCTGACAGTCTGCTGCGATGCAATAGTGTCCCACCTCACACACACAACATATATATCATTTTTGTTGTGATGAAATGTTGACTAATATACTACAGTACATTTGCATTATAATCAAAGTACATAAAACCATTTTAACTGTAGTGGGTTATTTGATATTTATTTTAAATGTAGTAAATTGCAATAACAAATACATTTAAATACATGACATACAAGTTTCAATAGAAATGGCATTTAAAGAATATTTTAGTTTAGCATAAATGATTGTCAGTACATTCGACAGCTTACTTTAACCCTATAACAGATGTACTTAAGTGGCTCAAAACAGCACAAGTTCAGTTATTTGCATTTAATATAAATGTAAAGTATAATACATTTTCATTAAATTGCAATTAACATGCTATTATATATCTGAAAATAAGTATATTCTTCTTTTAAAGTATATTATTTCCCTAATAAGTACCCCTAACCTGTTAACATGGGCGTAGAAAAAAGATGCACTGCACAACAATACTTGCCCATGTTCAGAATTATAAAGAGCCACCTTGTCCGTTACAGATCTTAAAAAGAATATGGAGCAGGATCTTAAGTTAGTCTGGAAACTTAAGTTTTGTTTAAAAAGTACAGAAATTATACAGTGAGTGCTTTTGAGAAAGATTTTGGAAAGATAATTTGGAGTTATGACTGTCAAATAATAGGTACTTCATACTTTTTAACACAAGTTCGTATTATGAAGTCAATATTTCTGCAAATTTTCTTGGTTAATTCTGGTTTATAAACTATTTCAGGTGAACCCACCCCATAAGTAGGCAGTTCTTGGCCAGAAAAGGCTACAAAGTGGACCAGACTTCATGCCAATAGTAAAAAGCCTGTATCCAAAACAAAATATATGCTGGTGACCATATATGCTGGTCCATGTAGAGGTTACTTGGAGAGGTTTCAAAAACTAGGTTTCTCAAGCTCTCTCTTTCTCTCTTATAGTATGATGGAGTACTATGCCAGTTCAGGCCTGCCGCCCCCTCCAGCGGGTCCCGTCATTCCATCTGCACAGACGGCTTTTGCCTCACCTCCAGCTACTCCTCATCCTGGACCGATCACATCAACCTTACAGTATCCTCGTCCACCTGTGCCACCTCCTGGACCTGTTTTAGCTTCACCTCCTGAAGGTCCACCTCCTCCTCCAGCACCTCCCGTACCTCCTCATCCTGTAGCACTTAGAGAGGGACGGAGACTAACTCTGCAGCCTGTCACAGATGCTCGCAGTGACCTGCTCTCAGCAATACGCATGGGTAAGTGGAGTGTGATTGTGCATATTTTATATACATCAACAGGAGAGTGTTGTCCATGGTGGCATAATTTAGCATGACCACAGTACAGTGCACTGTTGTAAAAAAAGAAGTACACTTCAGCATACTTTTAAAAAGAGTAGTTATTATGGAAATGACATATTTTAAAATAATATACTTAAGTGTGAACTGAATGTAATGTTTTGGACACTTAGTTATGTGTCACTGAAAATGCATTCTTGTGTAAATTTATATTAAATGCAATTAGCTGAATTAGAGTGTTTTTGGACCAACTTAAATAGGGCATAATTACATCTTTACATGTAATTTCATAATTTCTTGCTTTGTCTTTGCTCCCGAATGTATTGACAAACATTTATGGTACACTAAAATATACTTCATTATTAATGATACTTGACATGTATTTAAATACATTTGTAATTACATATTTATAATAATGAAGTTGCAATAAAAATATTAACTTTAAATGTAATATCAATTAACACATTCTGGTTAAATTATAATTAAGTACTTCACATGTACTTTAGTATGTTAGACAACATGTCAAAATAAGTTTACTTCTTTAAAGTGTTGCAAAAGATGATGTAAATGTAATTATTAAAAATTAACTTTAAAGTAAAACCTTTGATTTGACTTTATTACAAAGTGCATTTTTAAACGTATACATATGCGCTTTAAGAAACAGTCATGAAAATGGACTTCTTTTAGGTACATTTAAGTTGCCATTTAATTCAAGTACATATTTTTAAAAATATATTTTTAATATTTGAAGTAGACTACAAGCGCACATTCAATACAATTAAGCACACTTCTTTTTCATATATGACACTGTACATAATTTTAATTGGATTATTTGAATTTTTTATTATGACCAGATTTCAATTAATATTGTAATGTTTATATAGCTTACATGTGAATGTACAGTAGGTGTCTTTGTTGATAGTCATATAATTGATATATAGTAATTTAATTCATTTAAATAGTTTTTGTTTTTGTTGTTTAGTCAAAACTCAACAGCTATGTTAAGATTGAGGAGTGTCAAACGACTGTGTGTGCAGTAAACATGCATTTTGTGTTATTTGTGTTCACATGTGTTTCTGTGTGTGTGTGTGTGTTCAGGTATTCAACTAAAGAAAGTACAGGAGCAACAAGAACAGCAGGCTAAAAGAGAGCCGGTAGGGAACGATGTGGCTACTATACTCTCTCGCCGCATTGCAGTGGAGTATAGCGACTCAGAAGACGACTCTGAACTCGATGAGAATGAATGGTCTGACTGATTATAGTCAACCACACACACAAGAGTAGATAGAGACCTTCCTCTTTAGTATGAAAGTACATTCACCTTCAGATACCTACATATAGTTGATCATTGAGAAAATGATGTCAATTTCTCAAAATATGTTTAGGTAATATATAGACCTTAAGAAACTAAAGCAGTCTCTTATGCACTCAAACCAGACAAATGTTCAAGTTACAGAAAGGAGATATTTAAAGCGTTCATTTGAAAAGACTTTCAGTATTGTCTGTTTTTATTATTTTAATATTCTTTGAGTTGAATAATCTGCTAATGTAATGTAGGTTTATTTATTGCTTTATTTTTCTATTACCTCTTTTCCTCAGCTTGCACCAAGAAATTATTGTGTGAAAAAATCCCGTGTGAATAAATTTAGCTCTCTCTCCATCCAAATTCCATGGCATTTTATTGCGGTTAAAGAAATTTTTTTTTCAGAGTGATTAACAAATGAATTCAGAGCATGATAGAATTTAAGTAGAACATGACAGAATTCAATACTATTACAATGTCTTCATAAATCATTATAGAATTGCAGATTAACTTCTCTCTCATTTATGCCAAAGTGAAATGTTTGAGTGATTACAAATTTAAATCTCTTGGGCTGATAACTGGCTACCAGATTTAGACTGTCTAAATTCAAAAAATCTAGAAAGATGAAAAAAAAATAAAAAAAAAACCTTCAGGACATAAAATGATAAAGAATTCATATTAATAAATGGCTACACTGAAAAAAATTATATTACTGTCTGTCTTTATAAGTGACACTATAACAAACACTTGTGTATGATGCTCAGATTCATTAGCTGCTGTAGTTAAATAACTATAAGAGTAAGAAAGTGCAGTCATTTGCGCAACACAATGGTGGGTTAATGATGAATAATTTCATAACAAATACCAGTTTGCAACATAACATTTTTGTAAAGCTAAAATAACTAGAAGCTGTTGAAACTGGAAGCCTTGCACATTCAAGTTAAAAATGCATAAACTAATACCACATTACTTTAAGACTGCATATAATCTAAGATACTAATATGCACTTTTTAGAGATAGATAAGGTACCGAGTTTCCCATTTTAGGGCATTACCCCAGTGATAAGCTGTTGTACCACTGACTAGACTATTGCATTCAGCTGTTAATATGTTAATTTTGACAGCTCTAATTGTAGTGTAAATCTTGGTTTATTCATTTGACTTGGTTGATACCTTGACGTCAAGAAGTCAAGTTATTAAGTTATTCTTATGATTCTTAAGAGACTGATATGATTTTAGTTGTCTACATGAAATGGTATAGGACTCTAGAGCTTAGTATATCTTTAAAATAATAATAATAAATAAATAAATAATAAAAATCTTTTTTGAAGAGGCAGTTTATAATAATTTGTGACCCTGGACCACAAAACCAGTCTTAAGTCGCTGGTGTTGCGACACACCAGAAGGGTTTGGATCCATAGCGAGATCAATGAACTCACCCAGGTTTCTTCCCTCATCCCGGCAGGCCAGTTCTGACTGTAACTCTGAATTCAATCCTCTCCGGAACAAGAGCTTTAGCGTGTCCTCCACCCACACAGTCTGAGCCGCGAGAGTTCGGAAGGACAGAGCGTACTCAGCTGCTGGCCTTCTTCCCTGAGAAAGGGTTAACAATTGGTCACCCGCACTTTAAGCACAGAAAACAAACACGGGTATAACGCTCGGAAATGACAGCCGGGGCAAATCAAGACTTCGCAAGGAGTTCGTGAAATGGTGTGGCTTATATGTGTGTGTGTAAATGAGATGCAGGTGTGATTGTGTAATCAGTCCCAGGTAAGAGGGATGATGGGAAATGGAGTCCGAATGGAAGATCGCTAATACTCTGGGGACAGTTCCCTCTGGTGGTGCGGAGGAGGCGGTACGGGAGCCTCCTCTGTAACAGCTGGGGTATATTTTTAGCAATAGCCACAAAAAAAAAACATTGTGTGGGTCAAAATTATTGATTTTTCTTTTATGCCAAAAATCTTTAGGATATTAAGTAAAGATCATGTTCCATGAAGATATTTTGTAAATTTCCTACCGTAAATATATCAAAACTTAATTTTTGATTAGAAATGTGCATTGCTAAGGACTTCATTTGGACAACTTTAAAGGCGATTTTCTCAGTATTTATATTTTTTTGCACCCTCAGATTGCAGATTTTCAAATAGTTGTATCTCGGCCAAATATTATCCTATCCTAACAAACTATACATCAATGGAAAGCTTATTATTCAGCTTTCATATGATGTATAAATCTCAATTTCAAAAAAATGACCCTTATGACTGGTTTGTTCTAGGAATCAAACATCTCTTCACAATTTAGATTGGCTTCATTTTTCACTCCGCTTCAGTTCACTTCACTTAGTTAAGGACTAAATTTATGGTTGTTAAAATGACACAAAAAGAGGTCAGGAAATGCATTCTGGATATTGCCTATTGAAGATCTTGCTGATTTAAGACCTAAAAACGTAGCGTTGTCTGAACACAATGGTGGGGGATTACAACAACCTTTTAATGATTCAAACCCACTGTCGGATGCATTGTAGGGCTCATGAATGGGACAAGTTAACAGACCACAATAGTGGCATTAGTGCTAAACTTTTTCACAATTCTAGACACGTCACATACTTCACATATTTTTGGTGTTGTACATCTGGGTATGATGGAAGCTTTGTGACATTTTATGCATGTATTTGAAAAGAGTCTCACATCTTGCAAGCATAGTTTTTACATGTCGGTTGAGTACAAGTTTGATTTTTTAATGTATTTTTTAATGCCCCCTCCTCACATTAACAAAAGAAGAAAATAATTTGTTCATTAAATGTCTTAAAAGAAATGTCTTAAATTATACAAACTGAAACAAGCAACTCTAAATCTAGCTATTTAGATTGAATGATGCAGTCATCTGCAGTATAATTGATTAAAAGCTGAGTGTTATTGTGATTACATGGCAAAATGAAAAACAGTCTGGTGAGCGGATACATTCCTTTCTTACATTGTTTTGTTTACTGTCTGCATCACACACAGAGCACCTGGTGGTCTGTCTGTTTTTCTTTTCTTCCTGAGAACAAGCTTTCTCACACTCTGACTCTGTTGTTTTCAAGTATTTGAATTTTTTTTTAGTGGAATTAAAAGCCCACAGCCTCAAAAGCCCTTGCCCCTGTTTCCATATGGCTCAGAAATGTTCCCATAGCGATCTCCCACTGGCTCTGCTTATTTGCGATAGTGGTTGAAGTGCGGCATGCTGCCATGCAAAGTTAATTAAATCACTGTTTTACAACTCAGCTTAATCCCTATACCGATACAGCAGTACAATCCCGAAAGACAGACAGAAGAAGAGGGCTTAAAGACTTGACAGATCAGATCTGACATTTTGTTTTCGCACCGTTGCCAGGGAGTGCAAGGAATCTTTGCTTCTGAGCACTAGCACTGCTCTTGAGGCAAAACACGTGGGGATACGAGACATGTCCTCCCATCCGCCCCATGAAATGCCTCCTCAGTCTAGGACTGTACTTAATTGTGGCCATCTGCCAGTGAATTCAGCAGGGCATCGGTTTTATAGAGCGCATCCTATTGTCCTGTTCTTGTATCAAGTTTGCATTAAAGTTGAACTCGGGTGCAGGAACAATTTAGAGATAAAGCAAGTCCTATGTTTTTGGCAGCGCTGCCCCCTCCCTATCCTATCCACACACAGCAGCTCCTACTGTAAGGGACGTCTTCACCAGCGGGAGTCAAAAAGGATCTCATGGAATGCCTGTCCTCTGTTTTGTTTAGTTTTGTTTATACATTGACAATGTGCAATAGCTCTTTACTGTGGGGAGTTGGGGAGAGTGGGATGTTGGGAGATAGTGTTAAGAAAAGAAAAAAAAAACTGTGGTACGTGCCAAGTGCCAATTGTCTCCTTGTAATAGGCATCAAAAGACCAACTTCTGTGTGTTACCATACAGGTGAACTCACTCCTGGGAAAGTAGGATTTTTCTCAGCCTCCTCAGAGAACCAGCGTCGCTCTTTTCTCTCCCAGCAGTAAAGGGATTAGTCGTGCCATTGCTCTCCCGTCTTTCACGCCACTGTCTACTTCCCATCTTCTACTAATGTGATTATCCCAGCCCCTGTGGTCCAAGCAGAAGGACGAGGGATTCCTCTTCAGTTGCACATTCACGGTGCCTCACAGAATCCCCTCTCCAGCAACACCACCCAAATTCTCTAGCACCTCTGTAAGACCTGCTGGGCACAATTCAGATGCCATCTTAGTCAAAACAAGACAAAAGACAAAAATTGCATTATGCCTCCATGCCTTGAGAATCACTGTGTCTCAACAGCTATTACTCCTACTGTGCAGTCCCAAGATTAGTTAATTACCAATGACCCACTACCTACTTATTTCACATCAGTGTGCTTCATGTCAAATTAGATTAGATTCAACTTTTTTTGTCATTGTGCAGAGTACAAGTTGTGGCCATAAGCCTACATACACCTTGCAGAATCTGCAAATTCTTAAATTAAAAAAAACTAAATAAGGGACTATATATTATTTCTTACTGGCTGACAAAGCTATTTCACATAACAGATGTTTATATATAGTCCACAAAACAAAATAATAACGGAATTTCAACTATGACAAGTTTTAGCATGTTAATAGACATGACAGTGTTAATGCATTTGGTCTTGGCGGTCAGGATCTTCTATATGCTGCCGCTGCAGAGCAAGTACACAACAGGTACACAGACAAATTAGCTGTGTCCCAAAGTCAAATGCACACACTTCGAAGGCCACGCCTCCGAAGTGCATGAAGGACGCTCCGCCTTCGAAGGATTTCCTAATTGCGCCACCAGGGGTTCCCGACTACAACTCTGTCACATAGCAACGGTAGGAGAGGACAGCTGACGAGAGGACCATCCTGACAGGATAGGTGGAGCCAGAATTGCTCATTTTTGTTTTTATGTTTTACATCATAATGGAGGAGACGGTGGGAATGTTTCAGGGCTTAGCCAAGACCGAGGCCAGGTAAATTACACTGGTTAGCTGCATTCTTAATTGCTGGATTACAGCTTTAAATACAGGTATTGGCTTGAAGTTTACTTGAATAATGTAATGATACATAATACTGACTGATATCTTACAAAGGTGCGATTTTATATAGTTTATTCTCTTGACCATGGTGATCATAGACAGGTTTGCAACCTGGATTTTTTTAGGCAGTTAAGCATAAAAATAAAACTGTAAAAAAAAAATAATAATAATAATAAAAAATAGGGCAATGTACAGCTCAATGTTCAGCGGCAGCTGTGACAGCTGAACAGTGCTCTGTTTGGCCGGTCCGAGTCCTTCAGATGCAGCCTCTGAAATATAGCCTAGTTAGCAACAA